TATTAAAAAGGTCTGTAAGACTAACACCAAACTGTTTACCTAGAGAATGGGAATGAGACAGGAACAGGGAAAATGTAGAATAACAATTTATAACCATAAACTTCTGGGTGGCCGGACTTTTTTTTCAATGACTATGTGGTATATATATGATTAACAATTTGTTGTTGTCAAGGCATGCCATCGAGTCAATTCCAACTCATAGTGACCCTATAGAATAGAGAAGAACTGCCCCATAGGGTTTCCTAGGTTGTAGTCCTTACAGGAGTAGTTCACCAGCTCTCTTCTCTCGCAGAGCCACTAGTAGGTTCAAACTGCCAACCTTTCAGTTAGCAGCCGAGTGCTTCACCATTGTGCCACCAGGGCTCCTTATTTTAGCAATATCATCTTTAAAATAATGAGGCAATTCACTAAGGTTTAGAAACTGGCCATTTCCAACTACTGTAAAGAAGAAAAAAAAAAAAAAACCACTTTATATATGCTCCTGAACAATGATTAAGTTCCAGGAACCAGCATATTTCTAATTCAGATCTGCCACCTATCAATAAGCTGTGATGAAGAGCAAAATGGAAGGGGACAGTCCAACATGCTAGAGTTTGTTTGTCTGACTGGTTGTTTAATTAGGTCTTCCCCTCACATGACTTTTATAAATAAAGATTTTGAAAAATCATTGCTTTTGATTCACTCATATGCTCTTAGGAAGAAAAATAAAGAAAGAAGAACCATGAATTATTTCTTAGTTTACACAGTGTTTTCTAAATCCACACAGATTACAGAGGCAGCAGCAGAAACAAATACAGTGATGATGTGTAGACAAGATTATTCCATGGCTAATAGCTCAAAACCTCACTTTGATTGTTGAGAGAAGTGTGTGCAGGAGACGTAGGTGTGTGAAAGTGATTTCTCCGTCAGCCAGCCTACAAGGGGGGGGCTGGAAAAAGTCTGTGACTATAGAATAAACGCTGTCACTCGGAGCTGCATTGATTCTTCTTCTTCTTTTTATTTTTTTCAGACTAATGGCTCAGATGGTGGAATAACCAAACAATGACTAAAATACGAGCCAAATGCTTTCAAATCAAATCATTCCAATAGAGCAGAAATACAGGCAAGCAGACAGCCGGTCATTAGGGGCTCTAACCAATATTTGTTAAACCAGAAGAAACTCTCTCTCCATAATGACTGCCTCCTTCAGTCTAGGTCATTTTGACATTAGTGAGCCAGGGACAATCAATCTTTATAACTTGTGACACTGTCTTAGTCATCTAGTGCTGCTGTAACAAAAATACCACAAGTGGATGGCTTTAACAAAGAGAAATTTCTTCTCTCAGTCTAGTAGACTACAAGCCCAAATTCAGGGCATCAGCTCCAGGGGAAGGTTTTGTCCGTCAGCTCCGGAGGAAGGTCCTTGTCGTCAATCTCCCCCTGGACTGGGAGCTTCTCCGTGCAGAAATCCCAGGTCCAAAGGACGTGCTCTGCTCCCGGCACTGCTTTCTTGGTGGTATGAGGTTCCCATGTCTCTCTGCTTGCTTCTCTCTTTTATGTCTTGGAAGAGACTGGCTTAAGACACTGTCTGATCTTGTAGATCTCACCAATATAAATGTCACTAATCCATCTTATTACATCATAGTGATAGGATTTACAATACATAGGGAAATCACATCAGATGACAAAACGGTAGACAATCATATAATACTGGGAATCATGACCTAGCCAAGTTGATAGATATTTTGGGGGGATACAATTCAATCCATGACAGACACCTACTGATCAGCTATGAATGGTGGGAAAAGTAGCTCCAGGCTGGGCTCCTGCACTTTTCCCAACCCTGAGTTTGTCTTCCTTCTCCCCCAGGGTCTATCCAGCATGTCTCCAATTATCCCAAAGGGGTCAGGAAATTCTAAAATTAGTCTCAAAGTTGAGTTTCTTGGTATTTTTGGAAAACCAACTTTCATTTAAATACAAAAATGACTTGAACTAAGAAGTAAGGTTGGGGGAAGGCAGGTGAAAAGAGGTGTGTCATTAAATGGAACCACAGGGTATAGAGCTCCCAAAGGCTGGACCTGCCAACCAAAGGCACCAAAAAGGCAGCAGTTACGTGCTTGGGCCATCGTGGAAGCACCACTAGGGCCCACAACAGACACATGGGTGATTTCTCTACCATCTTTCCCCTCCCCACTCCTCCTGTGAACTTCTCAGTTTCAAATTCATTCCCCAGATGTTCACTCCCTATTTTACAATTCTATTCTTCAAAAGAATCTTGGTGAAAAGCCCCTGAGAAGATAGGTGTCTTTAAATGGCCTGAGGTACTTATCAGAGCAAAGCCTCTTACCACATTTATTGGAACAGGGATTCATCAAGAGTAAGCAGATGTACCTATACCCCGTTCTGTCAAGTGTCTGTTTTTACCTCTCCCACCCCATTTCATGCAGTAGGAGCAGAGGAGTGTAACACTTAACCAGTCAGTTGTCATCAAGTTAATTATGACTCATGGCAACCCCATGCGTCAGAGTAGAACTGCAATCCATAGGGTTTTCAGTGGCTGATTTTTTGGAAGTAGATCACCAGGTCTTTCTTCCGAGGTGACTCTGGATAGACTCAAACCTCCAACCTTTGTGTTAGCAGGCAAGTACATTAGCCTTACAATTCTTAGCACCCAGCAAACATGTAGGACTTCTCCCCACAAACAAGCACATGGGCAGAGGCTCAAGCTTCCTTCCACCTAAGCTAGGCACTCTGCACACACTCTCTCCTCTCTTCCCTGAATGGATTCACAGATATGAGGGTAACACAGTCTGAACTTAATTCCACAGCTCAAGGCTTACAATTAATTCAAATTCAATTCAATTTATTGAGCATTTACAATTGAGTAATACACTGGGAAAGGAGAGGAGAAAGAAGTGAAAGTAGCTAGCATTTGCTAATCACTTACCACGTGTTTTACACAATCATTACATGTATTGTTCTCAACAACCTTGTGAGGCAGATATTCTAATATCCACTTTACAGTTGAGAAATTGAAGGCTCAGAGGCCAAGTCTTACAGTCAGGAAGACTTATGTTTGACAGAGATGAGGGAGTAGAGAGAATGGCATGGGCAAAGGGAGGGGGCAGAAAAGTACAGTACATGCTTAGGGACCAGTGGAGTTGTGGAATGTAAGGGTGGAAAGTAGAGAGGGGCAAGATCATGGTCATAATTAAATGCTAGCTCAAGGAGTCTGAATTCCACCATGCAGGCAATGTTGAGCCACTTGTAGGTTTTCTGAGACAACATACAGTTGTAGTCATGCTTCAGGAAGGTCACCATGTCAATAATATATAACATGAGTGGAGAGGGTGTGGGTAGCTTGAAGGTAGGAAAGCCAGTTAGGAGGTCACTGGAAATAGCAGATGAGAGATAACCAGTCAGAATGGAAAAGAGGATATGCAAGTGAGAGACATCTTAGAGGTGGGACTGAATGAAACTGGCAATCAATGCGTTATGAATAGGGTGACCACACAACCTCGTTTGCCTAGGACACCTGTTTTCCTGGTGCTTTCTTTTTTTATTGTTGTGCTTTCAGTGAGTTTACAATTCAAGTTAGTCTCTCATACAAAAATTTACACCTACATTGTTATGTGACCCTAGTTGCTCTCCCTATACTGTGACAGCACACTCCTCCTTTCCACCCCAGATTTCCCATGTCCATTCAGCCAGGTCCTGACCCTCTCTGCCTTTTCATCTCACCTCTGGACAGGGCTGCCCATTTAGTCTTTTGTATCTACTTGAGCTAAGAAGCATACTCTTCATGAGTATCATTTTATGTCCCATAGTCCGGTCTCATCTTTGTCTGAAGAGTTGGCCTCAGGAATGGTTTTAGTTTTGGGCTAACAGAGAGTCCAGGGGCCATGTCTTCTGGGGTTCCTCCAGTCTCAATCAAATCACTAAGTCTGGTCTTTTTACTAGAATTTGAGTTCTGCACCACACTTGTCTCCTGATCCGTCAGGGACTCTCTGTTGTGTTCCCTGTCAGGGTGGTCACTGGTGGTAGCCGGACACCATCTAGTTCTTCTGGTCTCAGGATGATGAAGTCTCTGGTCTACGTGGCCCTTTCTGTCTCTTGGGCCAACGCTTTCATTCTGTCTATGGTGTTCTTCATTCTCCTTTACTCCAGGTGGGTTGGGACCAATTGATGCATCTTAGATGGCCGCTCACTAGCTTTTAAGACCCCAGATGCCACTCACTAAAGTGGGATGCAGAGCATTTTCTTAATAAACTTTGTTATGCCAGTTGACCTAGATGTCCCCTAAAAGCACAGTCCCCAGACCCTCGCCCCTGCTACTCTGTCCCTCAAAGTGTTTGTTTGTATTCAGGAAACTTCTTAGCTTTGGTTTAGTTCAGTTGTGTTGACTTCCCCTGCAGTGTGTGTTGTCCTTTCCTTCACCTAAGATAATTCTTGTCTACTATCTAGTTAGTGAATACCCCTCTCACTCCCTCCCCACCCTCATAACCATCAAAGAATGTTTTCTTCTGTGTTTAAACCTTTTCTTGAATTCTTATAATAGTGGTCTTATACAATATTTGTCCTTTTGTGCCTGACTAAATTCACTCAGCATAATGCCTTCCAGATTCCTCCACGTTATGTTTCAGGTTCATCATTGTTCTTTATCATTGCATAGTATTCCACTGTGTGAATATACCATAATTTGTTTATCCATTCATCTGTTGATGGGCACCTAGGTTGTTTCCATCTTTTTGCTATCATGAATAGTGTGATGGCTCTTATTTCTCTAGGATATATTCCAAGGAGCAGGATAGCTGGATCATATGGTACTTCTATTTCTAGCTTTTTAAGGAAGTGCCAAATCAATTTCCAAAGTGGTTGTACCATTTTACTTTCCCACCAACAGTGCATAAGTGTTCCAGTCTCTCCACAACCTCTTCAGCATTTACTATTTTGTGTTTTTTGGATTAATGTTAGCTTTGTTGGGGTGAGATGGTATCTCATTGTAGTTTTGATTTGCATTTCTCTAATGGCTAATGATCATGAGCATTTCCTCATGTGTCTCTTAACCGCCTTAATGTCTTCTTTGGCAAAGTGCCTGTTCATATCCTTTGCCCATTTTTTAATTGGGTTATTTGTCTTTCTGCTGTTGAGGTTCCTGGTGTAATTCTTAATATCACCATCTCTCTCTAAAAAGGTTTCAAGTTTGTACATTAAACTATGATCACACTAATTATGAGCAATAACAAAACAGAATCAAGGGTGACTCTAAGATTTTAAAGCTGGATTAGTAAGGAAGGTGGTGGTACCGTTAGGAACTCAGGAGGAAATCAGGTTCCTTGGAAAAAGGGCGAGTTTGGATTTGGACAAGCTGAGTTTGCTGCTGAGGTGAGGATTTATTTCAGAGACAGAAGCACCTTGCCAGTGGATTTGCGCCGTGTCACGTGAAGGAAGGCATCATTGACCTAATTAAAATTTAAAAAAAAACAAGAAGATAAAAAAAATTGTGGCCAGACTTACATGTGTGTTTACAAAGAATTATATATAGCTAACTATGCAATTCTAACTAAGTAATCATTACAAACTCAAAGGAAAACAATAATAATTAAGGATAACCTAGCCTCAGTTCTTCTCTCTGCTTAAACTTATAACCTTCAGTTTTGTCAGATAAAAGCCAATAAATAAAGAGCCCTCAGGTCTATCTATATTGTGCTATAAATTTTAAAAGAACGTACTCTCTGCCAGAGAATTAATGCTTGAATTTTTTTTCTTTTTATTAAAATGGTCCTACTTCCTATGTAACTGAAATTGTAATCTATCTCAAATCCTTTTATAGAAGTAAAAGTTTACAAAACATAAATAACAAGGCAAAGAAGAATGGAAGAAAGTAGACAAAAGTGCCATTATTTGTAGACAATATAATAATCTAGACACACACAAAACAAACTAATCAAAGCACCAGACAAAAAAGAAAAAAGGTAGAAGATAGTGAGATACAAGATAAGCTTACAAAAATAACTAGTGTTTCTCTACATTTAAAATAATCAACTAGGAATATAACAGAAATAAACCACTATTCTCAAAGCCAACTAGAACCATAAAATACTTATAATTAACATAACTAAAAATAATCCAGAAGACTTTATGGAGAAAAAAATGTAAACTCTATTAAAAGACATGAAAGAGCTGAATAAGTGGTGATATATCCCTGTTCACAGGTGATATAACTTAACATTGTAAAAATATCAATTCTCCCTCCAAATTAGTCTATCAATTCAATGACATTCCAAAGCAAATTTCATCCACATTTCTCAGGAACCAAACAAATTTATTCTAAATTTTATCTAAAAGGCTAAAGATCCAAATAGTTAAGTCAAGTTTGAAAAAGAAGAGCAAAGATGGAATAGTTACCCTTCCAGAGATTAAAACACACTTTAAAGCTATAATAATAAAAGCAGATATGTAAACCAATGAAATAGAAAAGACAGCATGCTCATATACACACTGGAACTTGAAATAAGATGAAGGTGGCACCACAAATTAATGGAGAAACAATGGACTATTTGGTGCTGGGAAAACCGGTTGAGTATAAGGAGAAAAATAAAAACCTTTCACCTAATGTTTACCCAACACAAAGGTGACTTCAAATAGGTTAAATCCCTAAGACTGAAATAAAACTATAAAACTAATAAAGGAATATGTAAAAGATCATTGTGACCCAGAGATGAAGAATGGCTTCTTAAACAAGCTCCAAATAGCACTAACTATAAGATGAAATATTGATTTATTTGATTACATTAGATCTAGAAAAGGTGACAAACACTTGACAGACTCAGAAGGAAACTTCTGCAAAGTCTAAAACTAGCATCTAGAGCCTTGCTACTAAAAGGGTGGCTCAAGACCATCAGCTTCTGCATCATCTGGGAGCTTACTAGAAATGGACAATCTCAAGCCTCATTTCACCCCTACTGAATCAGAATCTGCATTTTAGCCAGGTGTTCTGGATGCACAGATTTGAGAAGCACAGTTTGAGAAGCACAGATTACACAAGAACCTCTTGCAGATTAGTAAGAAAAAGACAGGAAGCCCCTAGAAAACTGGGCAAAGGGCTTAAATAGCACTTCAAAAAACTGGAAAACTGAATGGCTAGAAAATCTATAGAGACACTCAAATTCATTAGAAATCAGGGAGATGCAAATTAAAATAATGGCATGCCACTTTACACCTATTAATTTGGCAAAAATTCGAAAGCTGGACAATGCTACATATTGGCAGGCAAATAAACAGTAATTTTCATGCACTGCTTTGTTGTTGTTGTTGGTTGTCCAGTTGGCTCCAATTCATGATGACCTTATGTATAACAGAAAGAAAAATGGCACAGTCCTGCACCGTCTTCATGATACTTGAGTCTGCTGCTGTGGCTCTTATTGACAGCTTCCCTCATTTTCACTGACAATCTACTTTATCAAACATTATGTCTTTTTCTAGCGACTGGTCCTTCCTAATGATGTGTCCAACATAAGTGAGCCAAAGTCTCACCAACCTCTCTTCTAAGGAGCATTCTGGTTGTATTTCTTCTAAAACTGATTCGTTTGTTCTTCTGGAAATCCATGGTAAATTCAATACTCCTCGCCAACATAACACAGTTCAAACGTATCCATTCTTCTTCTATCTTCCTTTATCACTGTCTAGCTTTCAAATACATAGGAGGTGACTGAAAAGACCATAACTTGGGTCAGGTGCGCCTTAGTCATCAAAGTGACACCTTTACTTTTTAAAACTTTGAAGAGGTCTTTTGCAGCAGATTTGCCCAATGTAGTGGGGGCATAAACTGGTCAAATCATTCTGGAGAGCAACTGGCACTCAAATTAAGGATGCATAGAGCCTTTGATCCAATAATCCTACTCCTGCTAAAAGTCCCCAAATATAGAAATACAAGTCCCTAAAGTTACATAAATGAAACTGTTTATTGTAGTACTAATTATGGTGTCAGCGAATCTTAGTCAACCTCTGAAGTTTTTCACTAGGAGGTAGATTTGTAAACTATAGTGGGTGGACATGATGGACTATGGTACAGCAGTGAGAAGCAATGAACTGGATACACACACAACACCCAACCAAAAACCAAACCTACTGTCGTCGAGTCATTTCTGACTCATAACGATCCCACAGGACAGAGTAAAACTGCCCCATAGGGTTTCCAAGGCTGTAATCTTTACAGAAGCAGACTGTCACATCTTTCTCCTGTAGAGCCACTGGTGGGGTCAAACTGCTGACCTTTCAGTTAGCAACCGAGTGCTTAACCACTGCACCACCAGGGCTCCTTACACACAACACAGATGATCTTAAAAAGAAGGCGCTGGGTGAAAAATAAAGAAACACAATAAGGTCTATTGTGCCATACCCATTTATCAACTTAAAAATATATTAGTACAGCTGGACAAACCCCTGAAACTACTGCCCTGAGATAATCTTTAAACCTTAAACCAAAAATATTCCCTGACATCTTCCTAAAACCAAATAATAATTTAGCTTAACTAGTAAAGAATGTCTGCCTTGAGAATTGTGCTCTTTTAAGAACTATCTATATGGGATCAAAATGACAACAGCAACTCAAAAGATTAGATAGGAAACTTAGGGGGCAGTGAGTTTACGTTAACAGGGGAGGAACAACTCAGAAAAGGAGAATGAGAATGGTTATACAACATGAAGTATGTAATCAAGGTCACCGAACTGTACATGTAGAAACTATTGATGGGTGTATGTTCTGCCGTGTATACTCTCAACAACAAATAAATAAATTTATATATACATATATTAGTATACTAAGTAACTGTTTTATAAGGAAATATAATCCTCAGGATATTACAGTCACATTATAGTGACTGACTGAGGAGAGGAAAAATAATGGGAGTGGAGAACAGCAGTGGGAAGTAAGGATAAAGGGGATAAGTAAACAGAGACATCCATACAGACATAAAAGCAAAAGATGGGCCTTGCATGGTCCAACAATGAAAATGTGCTTTGAAGTGAGGACTATGATTAACCAACCCTCTCCACCTGAGATCCCCAAAGAACGCATAAGAAAAATAAATACAGAGGAGTAAGCAGAGAAACAAATCAAGTGTGGCAATCTCTCTGCAAATCCCTGGTTTCAAAAACATCTGTCTTTCAGGGCTTTGTGCCTTACAGAGACCCTTCCAATCTAAGCAAACTCAGGCTCACTCAGAGGAGACGAAAGAAGTTCAAGACAGGTGTTTGATGCACTCACGCCCCTGCCACTCACTCAAAGCTGCGGCACCTCTCCAGGTGACTCACAGCTGCATCCCTCTCCCTGTCAGTGAGAGGTCACTTATTCCCAGAGAAATGTCATAGCTCAACAATAAAAAGACTTAGGAAAATAAGTACTATCCGAGATGGCGATACCTTTTTCACTTGGCATCTTTATCTCCTGCAAATCAAGGTTAACAAAAAAAGAAAGTTGCCCCTCCAAATGCTAAACCTATTTTTAACCGTTTTGGGTATAATTTTTTATTAAAATGTATCGCATATTTCCTTGACTTCTTTAAAATATTGGGGGGAAATCCATGACTTGGGAATCCCATCATTTTGACCATCCATTATTTTACCTTTTTGCTTCCCGTCTGTTTTTTCAGACATTCTGTCACTTCTCTCCATGCTGACTTGCCACGTCTGTTATCATTAACTGATTCTAAAAATATCCCACCTCTGCTCCTTTCTACCTGTGGTTTCTATCTGGGCTTGGAAACCAGACAACCAGTGAATGTTTAATAAGATTCATAAGGCTCTGAATAAGAAACTAACAAGAAAAGTGTACAGCTTTAAACCAGGGATTGTTTTTTAGACCAGGGTCTTTTTTTAAGACCAGGGTCTTTTGATAGCTAATTCTGATACTTAAAACACTTTCCTCCTTCTGTATTTTAAAGGCTGTTTTATGAGAGGGAGGCTGCTCAATACTAATGCCTAGATAGATACACAGGCTGTTCCCAGCATCTTTGTTCTTTGCCTTGGGGTTCTCTACAGGGATGAAGTCATAATTAAATTTGTCTCTGGAGACATGCAACCTAGAGTTTGGGGCAGGGTGAGAATATTGCTTTTGTTTTCAGATGTGAAGGTTCTGCTGTTGGAATTTTTAATTAGCTCATCAAGCAAGAATAATCAGACTAACTTATAGTTCCCTAAACATGTCATGCTGATTCATGCTTCCCATTAGAAACGGGCCCCTCCTCCTATCATAACACTGCCCTGAGACCTTCCCAACTAACAAGGGCAGAACTAGGTCATGCTTTTTTTACTGACTGGCATAAGCAGGTACTCAGTGAATGTTTGATGAATCAAATAAATTCATGAATTAATAAATCTATGTGCGACTGAGTGGGATTGTTTTTAGAAAGTAAAAACTTCTAGTTTGTGATACATTGCTGTAGCTGAATATTATTCATCA